GGATCATTACCCTTTTCTTCCTTTTAGTTTTGAATTCAACATGTGGTGGAGGGGATTTGAACCTCGGGTTGGATGAGGTTGAATAGTTAATGTCTTTCTGTGGAGCGAGAGAATTTGAATATCTAACATCTTAGTCAAGGATATAGAGAGAATTTGAATGATATAGAGTTGAACTAGTTGAGCTTCGTTCTTAATGATTTTCATTTAGATATCTGGGGGAAGCAAGAGGGTTGTTTCTTGCTTAAATATTCACCAATTCCCTGATAAACAAATATTAGATTGTGTTCATCCTAAAAACTAGTGATGCAGGCATGTATAAACATTCTAGTTACATTATCAAGTAAAGTTGTTGTAGTTTCTCCTAACAGCTCATTTTACATTTTGAAGGGAGTCTCCACAGCAAAGGAGATGTACGAGGTTTTAAGTCACCGTGGGTGGCTCGAGCTGTTTCCATTGTTTGCATCAGTCCACGAGATCTGTATCGGTCATCTTTCACCATCAGCCATCGTCGAATATAGCGAGCGCAGACCCAACTTCTCTGTTATTAATGGCCAAGCTCAGTAGTTTTAACAAGACTGGCTCTCGCCTATTTCAGATGTAGTGTGTTCATGAAGGTAGTTGCATCGTTTTTGTACATTGAAGAAATTTGAGCATTGGGTCAATATCTGACTGAACTTTGCCTGATCTTTAGAAGTAAAATGAATGGCAGGTTGGTTACAGCAGCATTTGAGAGGTTGAAATGTGTTTCCTGAGGCAGCTTGGATTCTAAAAAATTCTCCGATAATATTGATTAGTTTCCATTCAATATTGCATTGATACTGAGAAGGTATGGAGATTGGTAATGGAAACAAGAACAAACAGGACACCATGTCCTTTTCTCATTTCATGATAGTTAACTCAAACATTTCAGAAGGTAAACTACACATCAAAAGGACCATAAGTTAATACATAGAACATAAAAAAAGGATCTGTGAAATTCTTACAATCCCACTCCTGTTCCTTAGAAACAATTTTGCTATACCCAACAATTATCCGGTGTGTATTCTGTCAAGTCGTTCGACACTCTTTCTTGCTCGTTCAAACTGATGATCAACACTTTTTCTAGACTTCTCGTGACAATCTACGCTCTTGCGTGACCTTTCTTTATGGTCAACTGACATTCTCGTTTTTTCTAATTTATCTGTATTACCATACTGGCTCTTCTTTTTTTCATGCCTATCAGTGCTTTGCCTTGGTTTCTCTCGCCTATCTGTGCTCTTCCTCGAAACTTCGAAAAAGTCAACACTCCTTCGAGGTTTCTCTAACTGGTCTGTGCTCTTCCTGGAACTGTATCTCTGGGATGGGGATTTCTCCACCGTTGATATGAACTTTTTCAGGTGCTTAATATACTCAGGATAGAGCTCCAGATCACAGTGGTTTCCTCCTTTAATCCACAGTGGTTCATACTTTTCTTTGCATAATTCCCAGAGTTGCTTACCATGTGAGCAATCAACCACATCATCTGAAGTTCCCTGGTAAAAGAGACACATATGACCAATTAAGACTATAGTTCTCAAGTGAGCAACCATTCAAGCAATCAACCACAGGATTAGACAAATTCTATTTTTCAAAACTTCCTTCCTCTGATTTCCCTTGTATAAACGGGCATAGAAAGGTTCGGTTTCTTTAAAAGTCATGGATTTATGAACAGCAATTTCAATCTGTACATGCACATTAGTTTATCATGGTAAGATGACAATCGAAAAATATGCAACAGGGAATTCTTACGTGGATGATAAGAACAGGACAATCAACCAAAGGAATTTTGTCAATATTCTGCACAGAAAGAAAACAACAAATACAGCATGTGAATGATGCATATAAAGAAAATAAATCTATCACAGTAGAAACAAAAAGGATTACTTTACCTTATAAATGTCGAACCAGTACGAACGCTTGACTGGATACATGACTCTTAAACCAGAAAGTATAGGACTATGAAGAATTACAGCTCTTAAGAGAGGCAGCCGAGCTGCAAGATCCAAAGTGGGGCCACTTCCAACTGATTGGCCATACAGGATGATATCTTCCTGCTTAGTACCATAACTTTCTTCAAGACACTTATATACAGCTTCAATATCTGCATATGTATTCTGCTCACTTGGCTGCAATGTAGAACAGACGTTGAATCTTGGATTAGGATCGATACGAACATCACAAGCAATTTCAATTCAATCTAAATCGCTTATGACAAACACACCTTTCCAGTTGATTGGCCATACCCTGAATAGTCATACCTGCACAACCATTTCCTTATTAGAATGCTACAACTTTTTTCTATAGTAATCAACCATTTCATGGACGAGCAATTAAAGTGCAGCGTAAGTCTCGATTTTGACAGGGGAACGATCACAGACCTTGCAAATCAATTCAAGGGAAGAAGGAGAATCATTGATGAAATGAGATTTATTATCGAGCAATCCAGATATAGAAAGCTTGATTCTAATAAGGATTCATTAACTCAATATTCTACGAGTTCTGATGATAATATCAGCTCAAATTCTCTAGCTAGCACAGTCCTTATTCAATCGAAGAACCATCGGTCTATAGAGTTAAATTCTACAACTAAAAGTTTGGATGATGATGTAAGAACTGAATTGAACCTAGACCGACTATAATTGGCATTCATGAACCTGCTATCAGACACAATCACAGTTGAGTCCCGAATTCCTAATGAAATCTGGTAAATTCAGACGATCCATATGCAGAAGTTGACCGCAAAAACAAAGGAAAGCACCGAAACTCAGAAGAGAACAGAGCAATACCCCATGATGTTAACACGAAGGTGAATGCTCAATTCAATGAAAAGCTCGTACATCTGGCCCAGATCAGCGGCGTTTCCATGAGAGTAAAGCAACGTCGAGGTGGCCATAGGGTAGCGAATGAAGACAGCAACAATCTCAGTACCACGACGAGTGGGCAGCTTAAGAATCTCAACATTTTCACGATGAGGAAAAGGGCTTAGAAGCAAAAGACCGGTATATTCATCGGTAACAAGTTTGTACGAAGGCGGATTCGGTGGGAAAAAAGCGAGTTTCGCCGCCATGGACGAAGTAACACCACCCATCTTCGCGGTCCGCCACTGTGAACGAATCTAACCCCGATTAAGCGAACCAACAACCCATCATTCGAAGAAACCCCAAATTAAAAACGCAAAAGAAAAACGAGCAAGAAATTCAACAAAACCCTTTGGTCTAACGACTGAAAATTAACAGTAAGAGATCGACATTCCAGAAAATTCGAGAGTTGGGATTGGTTTACAAACATTCGGTGAGGAAAAAAAGAGAAGAACAGAGAGATTGTTAGCGGTGGGTAACAGGCACATAAATGGAAGAGAGAGAGAGAGAGAGGTTTAATGGCGTCTGTGATGATGGTGGGTCAGAGAAGAGAGCGTGACCAGTGGACCTGAGAGGCGTGGCGTGGACAATACAAAAGAAGAAAATGGTTTACTTCTTCCTCATCTTCACTGAAATTATATAGTGTGTCAATCATGGCATTCTTAGAGAGAGAGCTGAACCTGAAAGTAGCCATTGTTAGGTTGTAAGAGATCGTTGCAAGCTTCAGCTTAGAACCCTATATTCATCTATCAATTTTCCTATTTTATCCTTTTATTATTATCATTATTATTCCTTTTGGAGGTCTCTTATCATTACTTTTATTTTTAAAATTTTTAATTTTGTCACGCTCATTAATTAAACTATTAAACTAATAATTATGCTATTTTACGGATCATTTATTCATAAATAAATATGGATGACAAAAAAAATGTGATGTCCCACATTTGGTTGGGAAGGAGAACAAAAGATCCTTTATAAGGTGTGAAAACCTTCCCCCACCATACGCACATTAGACGCACGTTTTAAAGCCTTGAGGGGAAGCCCAAAGTAGACAATATTGGTGGATATGAGTCGTTACAATAATGGTGTCATAAGATACATTTTTCTGTATTTTTAGTATCGAACTTCAACATGTGAATAGAAAATTTAGAAAAAAAAAGTAGAAACATTAAACTGTTTTCAACCTAACTTACAGATCTCGTAGGTATCTTATTTCCTGCACTGAAATGGCGGTGAATGTTGATCCTTGATGTAAATTCATTATAGGAGGTATAAGAAACAAATACTTAAATCCAAAAGCAAGAGATTAAGAAGACTTATATCCAATAATGGTTCAACCCATATTTTTCATCATACAAGGTTTTGTAATTATCCTCCTTTCTTATCCCAACCAATAGAGACCCTTTTTTGGTCACTTTCCTAGGTTCTTTCCATGGGATTTCCGTTAATAAAAGCCTTGATTTCTTAGCTATATATTTTGAGTTCATAAGCATGTGTAGTCCGCTCTTGGTCGATATATATGATCTTAACGAGTTGACCTATGCTCAAGTTAACAATTTTGAACCAATCGAAATTTCAATTGGTTCCTTCTAAGCTAGCTTGTTCTTTTGGATTGAGTCACTCTTTCCAATTAGTTTTGAACTCCTATTCTCAATTAGGAAGGTGGAAAATGAAGGATTTCTCTGTTCTTTCCTAAAAGAAACAACATTCTGGCACAAGAGGGAAATTCGACTCATAATTTCAAACTAGGACATTATATCAATAGATGGAATACATAAGGTGCATTCAGCCCTCTTATCATTACTCTCGTGTAAGACACACGACTATGATTATCACTAATTATGATTGTATAATCGTGTTCATCATCAATACCGCGATACTTTGAACCATGTTAATCACAATTCACAATCATAAAAAGAAGAAAAAAAGTAGCCAACAAGAAAAGGCCAACAAAAGATTTAATAGCAGATTTCATTGGCCAACAATTTCTTTAGTCAAGCTAATCACATGGATCTCCCAATGATAGATGTGATATGCCAGGCAGCCAGGACCCCACATCAAAAGTTCAACATATAATTATATCAGCCAAGCCATAAGAGACCAAATAGAAGGACAAGAATTAGAAGCAAGAAAATAATTAAGCATCCATTTAAACAGAACCATTTACTGATAAATAATCTAATGAGATATTTCTTGCTTGCAGTGTAATAAGAATGTAGAATGGAAAGTGGATAAAGGCCTTCTTTTTCCTTTTTGGTCAGCACTCTGCGGCTAGAACACTTTCCAGAGTTCAACAAAAGTTCTGTTATTTTAAATTTTTTTTATTGTGGTAGATCTTGTTGTTTTTGTGGTCTTGAAAAGCTTTCTTATTCCTCGGCTTACTGCTCGCACCTCCTTAGAACACATTGAGGCCGAATCGTGGAGAGCTGAGAACCTTTTATTTGTAAATTGAAAGATGGGGCTTGTTCTGTCCATGAAGATACCGTCATGGAATACAAGGGGTAAAGGGCTAGATAAAAGACATGCTTGGTCAAAGATGATGTCATTTCAGTAATGCCAGACATACAGCCGATATGAAATTCTAGAAACACGGGTTGGTCCCCATTATCAAAGTTAAGAACAATAAAAGGAGCTAATGATCACTGGATTTCTGAGTTTTGATTTTTCAAAATAAGGAAATTGATCAGCTCCTCAATCTCTGTCGTAAGGGGATTAAGTGCAAGTGAAATTCCACGCAAGTATACTCTCACTCCAAATATCAGAAACTTAGTCCATGTGAACCCAAATTGGTCGGAGAGGGAAAGCATTCCTTATAAGGGTGTGGAAACCTCTCCTAAATAGACGCGTTTTAAAACCTTGAAGAGAAAGCCCAAGAAAGACAATATCAGCTAGCGGTGGGCTTAAGCGATTACAAATGGTATCAAAGCCAATCATCAGGCGGTGTACCAGCAAGGACACCGACCCCAAGGGAGGTGGATTGTGAGAAAATACATCGATTGGAGAGTGGAAGCATTCCTTATAAGAGTGTGGAAACCTATCCTTAGTACATTCGTTTTAAAACTTTGAGGAAAAGCCCAGAAGAAAAAATTCAAGGAAGACAATATCTGCTAGTGATGGACTTGGGCGGTTACATAGTATCTTTATAGATACAAAATCTGGAAGTCTTGAGAACTGTACCATTTCTCGAACCATAAACTAGAGAAACCACTGGATCAATAACTATGTATACATCGACAGCTTCATAAGGACTCTAAACACATTTTATTCATCCAAAGCCACTGATTGTCCTCTAATTTAGAAGGTGAAACATTCGGGACATGAACTTGAGGACATAACTCTCAATCTATGTTCTTCAAACATGAAATGAACTTCATAACAGGTTTTTCTATTTTATAGGAAACCGTTGAATTAAGAGAAAGTGTACAAAACCAGGCTATAAAAAATCACAGGCAAAAAAGCCCACAACACCGGCCTCCAAATAGAAATTACAAGAAACCATTTCAAATTTTAAAAATAAAAAACAGAAGAACACCACAAAATTTATTCTTTTTTTTTTTTTTTTTTTTGAGTTCAAGAACATGGTAAGTGAAGGATTGAAAATTTTGACCTCGAGAATATACGTCTTTACGTCTTAATCAGTTGATTTGTGTTTAAGTTGACAACACAACAAGATAGTTAGTACACAAAAACCCAAATGAAAGCCTTAAAGCACAACAAATTTCACACCTCATCCTTACCGAGTCCCTTTGACACATAGAAAATCCCTTCGTTCCTTTATTACCAAATACTATAGCAACTTTGAACTATGAACTAGAACAAGAATCAAATTTTGGCTTGATTAATGGAGAAACATCCAAGAATCTTCAGAAGGGTAATCAGTTAGAAAGGGGTTATAGACAGATTCAGGAGTGGAGATGGCACAAGTAGGACTATGCCTTTGAGAATGAATTTGTTGGGTGAGGAAACCTTATTTAAACCTTATTATCCTTCTTAAGAACAAAGGCAGAAATGCATAAACTGATTGTATCCATATGTAATAAAAGATATCGATATCACCCAAGAAAACTAGTCTGGAAATGAATAAACTGCAAAACTCAGTGCAGTGCCATTACTAGTCAGAACGAACAATGTTTCCACCATAGTTCCCATGAAAGAGGAGAACGATCATTCTTGGTTCCAATGATAACATTAAGGCAAACCATAAAGATCAATTTAATAGCATAATCCCTCAAAAACTTTAAAATCTCACCGAGTAAACCATCCAAATCTGTCGTCAAAGCTGCTTCCTCAGTTTCTTGTGCTTGTTCAACGTGTTCTTCCTCTTGTTCTTCTTGTTCTTCGAAGTGTCAAACTAAATCAACCCAGAATTATCTGACCCACTTCACCCGCCTCAAATGCCGGCGACCCAATTTGTAAAATTGTGTTTGGAAAATACCCAAATGGAATTTCTGGGTAAATATGAGAGAATTGGAAATGGGCCAAAAATCTGGCCCAAAATCTCCTTTTTGTGTTCTGCCCATCTGATCTCGTTTCTTACACTCCGAAGTTGGAAAATCTGGCCCAAAATCTTTTTAAATAAATTAAGACAGCCAATATAATTAATTATATTAAGTAGTTAAGACATTTATACTTTTTTCATAAGATCAAAATTTAATCATCTTATTATAAAATTATAAAAATATGATAAATAAAAGTAAAAAATAATGGTTCATCATTCTAATTGAAAAGGAACAAAATAATTCTTATCTACGATGAAAATAAAAGAGTTTTTAATTTTTAGCTGTTTTCAAATTCACATTCCTATTTAAAAAAGAAAACAATTGGTGATCATATAATGTGTAGGCCCCCAAACCAAACAAGAACAAAACAATTATCAATAGCCAAATTCATAAAGTGAAAAAAAATAATAATAAAGTTTCGTAAAAATAATAATAATAAAGCTTCGGCATGGTATGATTATATTCTAAAAGAAGAGACCAGAGTAATCATGTTTCTTCTTCCATACGTGCAATATGATCATGATTAACAAAAACATCAAGAAATACTGTTACACATTTTAAATTTTTAAAAAGAGTTTCTCTTCCGTAATAATGGGATTACCCTAGTGAGGGACAATATGCTAGCTCTAATTAAGGCTACAATTATGGTATTAGATTCATAGGGTTGGACTCATATGATTAATTTTGGAGTCGGAATGTTAAGCCTAGGTCTAATTAGGGCTACAAATTTGTTGGTAATATGCACTATATAAATCTTAATCTTAGTAGTTCACACCTAAGCTATATGTTTTTTTTTTAATTAGGGACGAAAGTATATATTAAATCCACGAAAAATAAAAAAGGAAAAGTGAAAAAGGAATTCGAAACATCAGCCATGATTACAATAAAGACTGATATCCAGCTATCACTTAGACCAGTGAAGACATTAAAGTGATAAGTCAATGCACACTTACTCAAGGTAAGGTCTCCAGCTTGATAGAAGGATCGAGCCATTCACTAAGTATAATTTTTTTAGAAACCGTGGTTCAAGTTGGAAGAATATGTTAGTCATAATCATTTAGCTAAAGTCAATGTCGTATAAACGAGCGTTAGACCGAGCAAGGGTATCTTTCAATTTAGGAGCTTCCCCCCTTATCCCTCACCATACCCTTTCATTTTTGCTTAACCTTCCCTGGTTTGGGGATTCTACGACGATAGATAGGGGTCAGGTTTGTTTGGCATCTATGCTCTCTGCCCTCCAAACAGTATGGGAGCCTTTCAGCTCGTACTGCTCACATTCCTAGATCTTCACGGCACCTCCTCCACTCAGCCTATTAGCATGGCACGTGTGCATCATGTAATTTGTCCACTCAGCCTCTTTTGTTGGCCATAGGACTCTTTCTTTGCTGTCTTAAAAAGAAGGATTTTAATTATGCACATGTGTCGGATTGCCAAATGCAAACATCCACATCAGCTACCGCACAACCGAAAAGCAAATCCAACTCATTCTTTTTTTTTTTTTTTCTAATTAATGATTAAATTACAAATTTATTTCTTAAACTTTTGATTAGATAAATAATAATAATAAAAAAAAATAAATATCAATGTTTACACTATCCTATCTTTCTTTCTATCTTGTTCTTTGGATGTTTTTTCTAAATTGGGGTCTTAGCTATTTGTTTTCGGACGATCTTCTGCTGCCTTTTGAGTTCTGACCATAGACTTTGTCTTAAGAGCTGGATTGTTGTGTTGCCCTTATAGATTGTCGTTATCGAAAAGTCATAGCTTATTTCGATTAGGAGTCATACGATGCACCTTATCTAAACTACTGGTAGTCTTAGCTAGAACCAATGTACGTAACATTAGAGTCAAATGTGTCTTGCCTTGAACAAAGATGAATACAGACTCCTTAGAACGTCAAGTTTGAATCTTTGCCTTTCCTATCTGCCAACCATCTGCACGATTGGAAACCAATCGTTAGAGACCGAGTTCAAAAATTAAATGGTTATGTGTTCTTTCTTTAGGGAACACTCCACCAATTTTTTTCTAATGATGTTTTGACTTTTTACTACATAAAAGAAGAAAAGGAATCACCCAAAGTGTTTAAAACTTCCAAATGGGATCGTAAAGAATGGATAAACGTGAATGAAAACAAGTTTGGTGATGCTTTTTATTTGATTAAGTTAGGTAAAGTATGTTTGTAGTTAAATTTTATGTTTAATAAATGTATATTATTAGTGGAATAAGTAATAATGCCATGCACATAAAGTTGTAAAAAACAAACTCAAACAATGGGATTCGCTTTCTATATAAAGAAGGCAAAGAAGAGGGGGAAAAATGGGATCAAACCATTGGCTTAAGCTCAGTTCATAAACGCCATGGAAGCTCCTGCAAGTTTCAGCCCTCTTAGTATTGCTTTGAGCTTAGCCATGGCAGCAGTCATCCTCTGTCAGTTGCTGCTGAAACTCTTTGCAGCTGCAACGCCAAGCCCTAGCTTGCCTCCTGGCTGCATGGGCTTCCCCTTCGTTGGAGAGACACTCAGCTTCCTCAAGCCCCATCATTCTAACTCCATTGGGACCTTCCTCCAGTATCACTGTTCCAGGTAAATTCAAGTGCGAGATCCCACCTTGATAAAGAACGAAGTATTCTTTATAAGGGTGTGCAAACCTCTCTATAAAATGCGTTTTAAAAACTTTGAGAAAAAGTCTAAGGAGGAAAATATCTCTTAGCGATGAGTTTGAACTGTTGCAAATGGTATCAAAACTAGACACTGGACGATGTGCTAGCAAGGAGCCTGAGCCCCGAACGAGGGTGGATTGTGAGATCCCATGCCGGTTGAGGAGGAGAACAAAACATTCTTTATAAAGGTGCGGAAACCTCTCTAGCAAATGCTTTTAAATGAGGAAAATATATGTTAGCGATGAGCTTGTTACAAATGGTATCATAACCAGACACTGGATGATGTGCTAGCAAGGAGGCTGAGCTTCGAAGGGGGTGGATTGTGAGATCTCATACCCGTTGAGGAGGACAACGAAGCATTCTTTATAAGGGTGTGGAAACCTGGTTTTTAAATCCTTGTGGGAAAGTCCAAAAAGTCGGGGTGGATTGTGAGATCTCACATTAGTTGGGGAGGAGAAACAAACATTCTTTATAAGAGCGTAGAAACCTCTCCCAAAGAGTTGGGGTGGATTGTGAGATCTCACGTCGATTAAGAAGAAGAACGAAACATTATTTATAAGGGGTGGAAACTATCCCTAACACGTTTTAAAATATGGTGGGAAAACTAAAAAAGAGGACAATATTTGCTAGCTGGCTTGAGCCGTTACTGTTTATAGGTTTGGGACGGTTTTCAAGTCTCATCTATTTGGTTCGCCGGCGATAGTGTCATGTGATCGAGAGCTTAACATGTTCATTCTTCAAAACGACGACAAACTTTTCAAAGTGAGTTATCCCAAGGCCATGCATGGCATTCTCGGCAGCAATTCTTTGATCATCGCCGCCGGAGACACCCACCGGAAGCTCAGAAACGTCGTCGTTAGCTTTGTCAGCTGGTGCAAGTCCAACCCCACTTTCCTTCACTCCGTGGACAAGCTCTCTGTCTCTTTAATGGAGTCGTGGAGATGCCAAACTCGTGTGTTTTTCTGCAAAGAAGTGAAAATGGTAAAAATAAACAAAAGTACAAATAAATTATGACATAAAAATGGAATCTTTCTACAAAATTTTGAATCATTATTTTTTATTACAGTTTGCTTTGAGTGTTATGGTGAAGGAATTGTTGGGCATTGAAGCGAACGAGTCGGTTGGGTTGAGAATATTGGACGAGTTCGAAACTTATATGAAAGGCTTTGTTTCTTTACCTCTGAATCTCCCCGGAACTCCATACTATAAGGCTGTTAAGGTCGTTCTCGATCTCTTTGTTCTATATTCAATATATTTCTTCAAATTTTGTTTCGTATATCTAACCGTGTAAAACTGTTTCATGATTCAGGCCCGAGCGAAGCTTTCGGGCATCGTGAAAGAGATGATGAAAGAGAGGAAAAAGAAGGGATTAGTGGTAGGGGTGGAAAAAGAAGGGGATGATCATGAGAACTTTCTAGACGTGATAATGTCAAATTGGAAGCTTGATGAGGAAGAGATTGTGAGCGTTGTGTTGGACATATTGCTTGGAGGATATGAGACAACAGCTACTCTTATGGGATTGATTGTCTACTTTCTTGCACATTCACCTCCCAATGTTCTTGCAAAGTTAAAGGTATCTAAAATCATGAATACGATCGTTTCAATTCTATAGGGTCCCAGCGTACTTGTTGACACACCGCCTCGTGTTCATCTCCCTTCGAGTCTCAGTTTCTGCACTGACATATCCCGCCTGGTATTTGGCTCTAATACCATTTGTAATAGTCCAAGCTCACCACTAGCACATATTGTTCTCTTTGGACTTTTCCTTTCGAGCTTCCACTCAATGTTTTTAAAACGCATCTATTAGAGAGTGATTTCCACGCCCTTATAAAAAAAAATGATTCGTTCTCTTTCCCAATCGATGTGGGACCTCACACGTATATTTTAAATTCTCATGCATTTAACGAGGTCGTTAAAAAGATGATAATGATGATGCAGGAAGAACATGAAGCAATAAGAAATGGCAAAGGGAAGGGAGAGTATCTGAATTTAGAAGATTACAAGCAAATGGAGTTCACATGCAATGTAAAAACACAACTATGGGAGCTTTTTAAAGTTTTTTTTTCCTTTCTTTTTCTAAACCAATATCACATTCATAACTCTTAAACAGGTGATATATGAAGCCATGAGATGTGGAAATGTGGTCAAATTCTTACATAGAGAGGCCATTAAAGATGTCAAATTCAAAGGTAACATTCATAATCCTATTTTTTAATATAATTACTTGCAGCAGCTTTTGAATTTGATTTATGGGACAGACATTTTCATTCCTTCGGGATGGAAAGTTCATCCAGTCTTCTCAGCCATTCATCTGGATCCAACCCTTCACCCATATCCTCAACAGTTCAATCCATGGAGATGGAGGGATGATAAAGAAATGAGCAAGAAGGTGACGCCCTTTGGTGGAGGCCCAAGGCTTTGTCCTGGGATTGAGCTTGCCAAGCTAGAGATAGCTTTCTTCCTCCATCATCTTGTCCTCAATTATAGGTCAGTTTTTAATTTATACAGTTCCATTCAAAACAAGCGCAGATGAATATGGTTTTTTTTTTTTTGGTGTGTTCTTAGGTGGAAGACAAGCTCAGATGAATGTCCACTGGCTTACCCATATGTTGAATTTAAAAGAGACTTATTGCTTGAGATTCAGCCCTGTAGTTGCTGAAATCAAAGGCTGATTAATTCAGGGAATTTTATTGTTCTAAGCTTTTGTATGCTATGATATATGTTGTAATAATGTAATGGTGTCCGAATATATATTATATATATATCAAATTAGTTAATACTTGTTTGTTACTTCTACACAACATCGGATCGGAGGGAGAAAGGAACAAAACATTCCTTATAAACGTGTGAAAATTTGTCCCTAGCATAACAGTTAGCCGATATTGTTGACTTTAGCCTATTTCGTATCGCCATCAGTCTCAAGATTTTAAAATAATTCTAAAACGTTTTTACTAGAGAGATGTTTACACACCTTCATAAGAAATGTTTCTTCTCACTCTTTAACTGACCTGATCTCGCAATCAACTCCTTCTAGAAAAGATTTGTACACAATGGGTTGGCATGCTCTATCTATGATTAATTAGAGAAAAGTTTTAAATGGTGAATTTTCAAAATGTTGTCTAATAAAAATATAAATATTTATTGGTGAACTGAGAATATAAATATAGTGAAATAAAAATTATATTTTATGTTTTCGTTTTTGGTAATATATATAAATTTAAGTAATTATTTGAAATATGTTGATAAAATATTTGAAATTTGTAAAATTAAGAAAAAATTAAAAAACAACGGGCGTGGCAACTGACCGAAGCGGTTCACGTTCAGTTGATCCCGATTACTAAAACCGCTAGATTCGGTTCTATATAAATATATTGAATCGAACCGCTTCAAATTAAGCCGATTTTCCCGGGGTTTTCTTCGCTCATTCACTTTGCGGTGCCCTTATTCTTAATCTCGTGCGGCTGCTACCTCTTTTATCTCCGTATTGCAATCCGGTTGCTGCAGTAGTTTCATCGGAATCAACTCAATCTCCGTTGTTCGTTTGTTCATCCGAAACAGTTGCATAACTTGTTTCGTCTCTTCATTTGCGCCGCTCACTGTCGACCATTGTTTCGGTCCCTCGCACGCGTAACAGGTTCTTCTCATAAATCTCTCTCTGTTGTCGGAACTCACTATCTCTTCCTGTTCCTCTAGGCTTACGCGCAGTAAACGTATTTGGTAGAAGAATTGGATTCTTTACTGAATGTCTTAATTAAGGGTTCTGTTGGATTAGAAAAATCAGTAGTGGATTAATGAAAGATAGTTTGTGTTGTGTGAGTAATTCATGTGTGCGACAATAGAGCTCTGATGTTATACTTATTTTGCTTATAGCTGCAATGCTTTTTTAGTTATTGTATTTGTTACTTGAGATTGTTTATCTCGTCTTGTAGTTAGGATGCCCAAGGAGGAGAGCTTTGAAGTTGATTTAACAACTGATTGTAGCCCGGAATCTAGTAAGAAATTAAAAGGAAGTAAAAAGAAGAAGAAGCAGTTATTGGTGGAAGGTGTAGATGTCATGGAAAGGAATGTGGAAGGATCTGTTGAGCTGGGGGAAAGCAACATAAACTCTGAAGTGAAAAATAAGAAAAAGAGAAGGAAGAGTACTAAACAATGTGTAGTGGAGAACTCTATCCAGGCTGAGGCAGGAGAATATGAAATTAAAGCAGAGAGATCTGTGAAAGAGGGCAGTCCTTTGTCTGATGGTGGAAGTGAGAAAAATGAAATTCTTGAGGAGAGGCAATTTGCATTGGAAGATGATGAGAATGAAAGTGCAGACAGCATAGTTAGAGAAACATCTGGAGAGAAGATTTTAGAGTCTAACAATGGTAAAACAGATCAAAGGAATATAAAGAGGAAGAAACGTCTCTTAAAGGAAGTTGCAAATGCGGACATGCGTGGAATTTGTTACTTGAGCCGTGTTCCTCCACATATGGATCCTTTGAAACTTCGTCAGATCCTCTCGCAGTATGGGGAAATACAAAGAATTTATCTTGCACCCGAGGGTAATGAATAATTATACATATATTTGCCTTTTCTCTTAGGTTTTACTGTTGCTTCAAAATTTGGGTTGCATATTTGTTTGTTCTTTTGTTCAATTTCTGTCATTTAGTTTAGAAGGAATTGTATTCTAGTTTACTCATTCAAGGTAATTCATGCATTCATGTTCAGACGCCGCAAATCAAGTAAAACGAAAGCGTGCAGGAGGGTTTCGAGGACAATTTTTTTCAGAAGGGTATACTCACATTTCTGACAACTTTTATTTTTTCAAATTTATATGAAGTCAATGGTTTGTGCATGCCCTTGAAGATGCTTGGCTTGTCAAAGGGGTTGGTTTTAGTTACTGATCTGTATTTTCCTTATACGTGCTATGCAGATGGGTTGAATTTACTGATAAAAGAGTCGCCAAGAAGGTGGCTAATATGTTAAACGGCGAACCAATAGGTAAACTTTTATTCCTATATGCATGCTTGTATCTGACATCCTGGCTCGATACATGACTTCTGCTTTCTCTTTGGGGGATGATGGAAGTCGTATTGGGCTGGTCTAGAAATCCCTGTTCAGCATAAGAAAATTAATTCTCCTATGGCATGCATTAGGTGCTTCATAATCAATTTGATCGGGTTATGTTTACCAATTACCATGCCCCGCTCTTGAACATTTTTATAATAAAAGATTTCTGAAGTTTCTTTATGTTCTTAGTCGTTTCTCTACCTGTTTTACATTTTTTTAGGAGGAAGGAAGAGGTCATCTTTCTACTATGATCTCTGGAATATCAAATATTTGAGTAAATTCAAGTGGGATGATCTTACTGAAGAAACTGGTACACACCTCAAAAACTTGATCCTGCCCCATTCTAGTTTACAACACTGTTACTGATGTTGAATATTTTGCAGCTTACAAGCATGCCATTCGGGAGCAGAAAATGGCTTTAGAAATTTCTGCCGCTAAGAGGGAGAGGGATTTCTATCTTTCTAAAGTTGATAAATCACGAGCATTGAAATCCATTGAAGAACGGCTAAAGAAGGTACATTGAAAAGCCTCTCTGAAATATTACATGCATCACTATCTCAGCATGCACTCTTAATATCTTTGACATTTTGGGGATTTAGGGTTGTTTTGGTAGGCAATCTGAACAAAATTTTGAAAACAAGGGATTCAATAAAAATATAATTGTATTTCGTGTTTTTCAGATGTGTTTTGTTACAAATTTAAAAATTGGATTCCAATTTAAACAACGACTCAAATTAATTAACATGTTTTCTTTTTTGTTATAAATTTGGTGTAGTTATTATTTTTATTATATCATTGATTTATAATATTAATATCCATATTTTAATTTAACAAAAATAATTGAGTTTATAACATGAATTACTATACTTGTTTAAAATTTATATTTTTAAATATGATTGAAATTCAAAACCTTTATACAGTGAAATATAGAAATGTTGTTTTCAGAATTTCACTATTTAGATCATATAATCCTAAAACAATTTGAAAAAGACATTTGTCAAATGCCCCCCATTCACCTAGCACATTGAATTTGAAGACATAAAGCAGGCGCCAAAGTGCCTGCTAAACCGGCCTTTTAGCTATCAGTTGAGTTTGTTCATCATAGTGAGCTTGGGAAATACAAACATTTACCCTCTTTTTATTGATGGTCTACAGAAGCAGAAGTTGCGAGAAGATTCAGAAATGAATTCTGAACTTGCTGATAGCCAGAAACTCCCAAAACTGATCCGCAACTTCCCACAAACACAACCAGTTGCAGATTCTGCAGTACAAGACAAACCAAAACTATCTACAAATTTCCTTGCTGGGGTAAGTAATAACGTATTATTTACAACCAAACCTCGTCTCATTCTCATGTTTTACCTACAGTCAAGTTATCAGATTTTATCTTGTGAACTTTTATTCGTTTGGTATCATCTTTGAAATGGTAATATGTATTTTCAACTCTGTACAGTTAAAAGCGTGATTTTTTCTAATTCTACAAATAGTGTTTGTATGTCCCACTTGTCGGCAACTCAACTATAAAAGGTCAAAAGGTTCACCCACCAAATTCAAAAAAATGAAATAATGTTCCTATTAGTAGTAGTAGTCAATTAGTTCTGTATTCAAAAGTATGTTATTTAAAAGCATGTCAAACTCTCATTAAATGATAACCTTATAATCTACCAGAAATCTCTCTTCATTGAATCTGTTAGAATTTATTTATACCTTTTTATAACACCAAGTTCTTGGCTATTTTCTCCTCTTCTGCAGGTGTTTGGAAGTTCCTAGTCCTCCAATTTCCGAACGCCATTAAAGAGATGTACGCCGATGGGTTTACTACGTAGGGACACTTGGGCTTTTTGGTAGGCAGAGCCAATCAAATCTTTGACATATCAATTTATTTATCTCATTACACAACAAAGAATGTGGAGGAGTTGTTGTAGCATTCTTTATTTGAATCAAACTTTCGCGTTTCATAATTTGTGAAGCATATAGGTCCATCTATTTATTTGTGGAGGTAAGTATTTATGGTACTCTCATACCCAAAGGCTAGACTGTTGATTTATGTGCACGAATGCACAAATTCACGTCTAGAAATCTAAACTAGTTTAGTTTGATTGATTGATTAAAATGTATATCTTTTTGTAAAGATTAAATATTTTCATGTAATTATTAAAAGTAAGTTGATTCACAAGAAAAGTAAAAACAAAGGAGAAGGGTGCCATATATCGATCAAGCTACTTTGTATTTAATACTGATGTCTCATTTGCATTAATTTGATGGTTGAGTCATGAACAATCCAAATTAAAGTCCTACGTCCAAACTCCCACCAGAAATTTTTATGTTGTTCAAATATAATTTAATGCTCTCTGTCCTCATGTAACCATAGTCACTTTATAATAAAAACAATAAATGAGAGATATAAACCTACACGTTTACTGTAATAATGTAATATCCAACCTAAGTTTATTGATTAAGAATATATACTCATCCCACCTAAGTTTGATTAAGATGTTAGATATTAAATCTCCATTCTTACGTGTTGAACTAAAAGTTCAATAATAAGCATAAAATATGTATCAGAGAAAATAGCTAATTTCCGTATGATTAAATTCAAATGAGTCTAATCAACTTAATTAAAACAAGTTTTAATGATAAAAAGTAAATTAGTTATTGTGATAAAAAGTTTAAAAGTTATATCGGTTTAATTGGATAATACTTATGAAATAGAAAATAAACAAATTAATGTGAATCAAACTCATAATAAAATAAAGAATTTGGTTATTTTAATGACTTCATTCCCTAAAAATTTATTACGTGAAAATTATATTATTTTAAAAAATTGTTTTTTCATGTATTAAATATGGTCCACATATATATAATCCTTAAAAGGGTAAATGAATTATCAACATCATCTTAAATGATTTATATAAAATGGCCATACTCATACTCAAATTAAAACACTAAATTTTTATATTCACTTTATTTTAGACGAATTTTCTACTTTAATGCTTCAAATTTTTCCATTAAAAAAAAAAAAAAAAAAAAAAAGACAACAGGATTCAAACTTCTTCACATTCAAAGCAGAGATCTGAGAACTCATACGAAAACATAATATAAAATGAAAAAAAGATAAATAAAAAAAAAATACAAATATTTAGTTAGAGGTTGAGGGAATAAGTTGGGGCGAAATTTGGAAGGGCAGAATGGTGATTTTTATGGCATTTGATGGAGCTGGGATTCACCTGAAGGAACAAATAATTTCCAGCAAAAAGATCCCCCAAATACGCTTCGCCTTCCCTAAACCTCTTCACAACCTTCGAAATCGAGCCTTTCATGGCCGTCACCAGCCGCGATTTCCTTCTCAACAGCTTTCTCAGGCTAGGAACTCTGAGTTTCTTCAACCTCCTCCCAATCGAAGCCCTTCTGATTTTGAACCACCGCTTCGACCTTCCTACAAATCTCCTCCTCCTCTCTTCTCCTCGTCTCGATCTTCCAAACGCCTCCTCAAATTCCTCGCTGTATCTCAGCCTCCGGTACCGGAACTTGCCGGGCGGCGCGGTGGTGTCGAGGTCCGGCATGGCGGATTTGATGAGTTTGAGAAGAGGAGCAGTGAGTGAGAGGGCATTAATAGGAAGAGAGATCGATCGTTGAGTGCATTAAATGGATTGGCAACTGGACGTTGGGATTCATATGGTGCGGAGGGTTTTGCTTTCTTTTAGATATATATATATATATTTTCTCTTTCTTTTAAGAAAGTCAATTCACATGCATTTGTTGAATACAAATAAAGCTTGATTCAATTCATTTTCATTATATATATATATATATATGGTCTATTATTATGGGTTAAGTGGATACAAGAAATTTTGAAATTAGCTTAGATGAACCCATGCCCGACATGAGTATGATCAACTCCGTTCGTCGATCAAAGTTCTAAGTGAGGCGAGGACCCTAAAAGCAAGCCTAGCAAGTGGACTAAGGCTCCTAGGATGAGTAGCATATTGACACTCTTTAAATCGAATTAAATATTTGATTTGACATTTATTAGTAAACACCAAATATTTGTGCAATTTGCTCGTTTTATAGATGTTTTCATGCTGATTAGAGCTGTTCACTTTAATCAAATCTATGTATCATCGATAATCACCGTGAAAATGGATTAGTATTAATTAAGATTAATTAAATAGAAGAGACAATAATATTGGATAAGAAGGAAAGAAAATCAATAATTAATCACATTAAAACGAAGCATAATAGAGAAGGCCAAACCAAACCAAGCATTAATATTACGCGTCTTATATTATGGTTTTACCTATTAATTGCAACCATTAATATTCACACCAACCCAATGTCTTTTTTTTTTTCCTTTGTTTTTGGAGCCCACCCATTGACACCATCTTAAATTTATCCCGCTATTGCTCATGTGTTAATTGTCTAGTGGTGCGTAATTGAGAGGAGGACTGACATCTAGTAAGTAAAGCCACACTAATTGTTACACTATCACGATCTACGAATCTAAATGTACTCACACTTGCATGACATCTACGACTGACTCCAATTATTTATTTTATGAAAAATCAAGATGGTTAATGTACTCTGGAATAATATGTGGTTTACGTAATAAAGAATTATGTTCAAGTAATAACTCAAATAATTTATATGGATAAAGTTGGGTGTCATATCTAGTAATACTACTACGGAGACATATTTTGTAATTGTTATAAATGATTTGATTCAAATTATTACTACTGACACATTCATATATAATAAGTTTGCTAAACCATTAAATATTTAATCTCTCTATTAAATGGAAAGTGTCCTAAAATTGGGCTAAAGTCTCTCTATTTTTATATTATAAAGCATCCCATGTCTCTAATAATTTAAATTTAGTCCTTTTGTAAAATTTTAATAAATTTTAATTTCTATCTAATCAATTAATTAGTTTTATCAAGATTCTTCTTCATTAATCAAACCAAACAAAAACAAAAAAGAAAAAGAAAATTTGAGATCAATATTAATTTTTTTTTGTTCTCTTCTGATTTTGCGCCGAGCGACAGTTATAATTTAATCCGGAATCCCGTATTTTAAAAGATACCTCCCTCCACTACACAAATCCGCCATTGAAATCCATTGTTTTTTCTTCTAGAACTGTGTAACCCGTGCATCCATTTCTAAAGATGCTCCAATTTTCATCTGCTCCCTGCTGAGGTATTTTCATTTTTTTGGTTATGTTTTGCATCAATTCTTAGAAAATCGTCAACAAGATGTTTGTTAAAATGCTTATTCTAGACACTATTCTCAATTTGGGATTTTGGGTTCTGGATTTGCCAAGGCTTACTCGAAGTGATCGCTAATAATTGGCTATGCTGGTTACAAAACTCAAATCGTTGATGAACAATTAGAAAACCCCACCAATGCTTTTGGGGGGGCGTTCCTTTTTCTGTTTAGGTTGTGCTGTGTTGAGTGAAATTTATGTTTATTTACCTCCTATATTTGGCTGTTTTCAATGTCGTAAATTAAGGGATGTAGCTGAGTTGTCTGCAGATAAGACTATCTTCTACGTCGGCTCGGTTTCACGGGTTTACATGAACAAGTCATAGGTGCCGCCGTTTGTTTTGATTTCTTGAATTCGTTTTCAATTCATTCCCACGCACCTCGTCCTTCAATTCCTACACGCATCTGCAGTGTTTAATTAGGAGGTGTATTTTCTTTTCTGTCCACTACGTTGTAATAAATTCCTTGGATTTTGATTTGCCTGCAATCTTTGTATCTTGCATTGAGATTCATATAGCTGGATTTTGTTGGGTTCTTCTGTATAGACTTTTTCATTTTGCTTGATGGGGGCCAAAAGTTCAAGGGAGGCCTCGTTCTATCGCTCAACTTCTTCTTCTTCTCCTTCTTCTTCTTCGTGGGATCGCGGTGGGTATTCTCATTCGTCATACGGACATGAAACCCCAAGTCATATGCCTCAGCAATCGTATTCTCAATCTTCATATGGACATGAGACCCCAAGTTATATGCCTCAGCCAACCTATCCTTCCCAGCAGTATTATAAATTCCCTCAAGAGGCCTATGGGAACGTCGATAATGGCAGGAGATTGGATAGAAGATACTCGATGATTGCTGATGATTACCATTCGTTAGAAGAGGTAATTTGTAAATGGGTTTAGGATTTGAATGGGAATTGATGCATACTTTACATTTATGGAGTGGTCTGTTGAATCTTCTTCTTTACGCTTCATTTACATCTGTTGTTTATCTCATTTATAAAGGAACTTTAAAGGAAAATCGACGCTGTAATCAGGGGATTTGCTTTGTTCTTAGAGAGATGAAGTAATCTTCAGTCCTTTTCAGGTTACACAGGCTCTTAGAGTTGCTGGCCTCGAGTCTTCCAATCTTATTGTTGGCATTGATTTCACCAAGAGCAATGAGTGGACAGGTGAAGCATTAATTCTTTTCTTTTTTGCTTGCAATATATGGGCTATTGTTTGTAGTGGGTCATTCCAATTTGGCATTTACATTGTCAAATAGGTGCAAGGTCGTTTAATAGACGGAGCCTACATCATATTGGAGACCACCCAAATCCTTATCAACAGGCCATATCAATTATTGGAAAAACATTGGCTGCTTTTGACGATGATAGCTTAATTCCCTGCTTTGGATTTGGAGATGGTTGGTATCTTTTCTTTTCTTTGCAAAGCTCTTGACACATTAAAAGGGTTGGCGCTCACTTTACTGAATTGGCAGTATCAACTCATGATCAAGAGGTCTTCAGTTTCTTCCCAGATGAGGAGAAAGTTTGCAATGGATTTGAAGAAGTATTGAGTCGTTACCAAGAAATTGCCCCACATCTACGACTTGCAGGTTTGTTTAATACATCTACAATGCCTTTCTGATATTTGAAGGACTTGTCTTTTTGATATCAAATTTGATCTTTAATTCTCCTGGCTTTGTAATAGGACCGACTTCATTTGCACCTGTTATTGAAATGGCCATGACCATTGTCGAGCAGAGTGGAGGTCAATACCATATCTTGCTAATAATTGCAGATGGACAGGTAGGTCTAAATGTCTGATTTCCTGCGTTGGAGAAGGAAACGAAACATTTTTTATAAGGGTGTGGAAACCTCTTCCTAGCATACACGTTTTAAAAATTTTGAGAGGAAGCCCGAAAGGGAAAGCTCAAAAAGGACAATATCTGTTAGTGGTGGGCTTGAGCGGTTACCGTTTAAATTATTGGATTATCTGTTTGCTACTTCATATATTTTTTAAGTGTTTCCCTATGCTCAGGTGACTAGAAGTGTAGATACAGAACGCGGGACACTTAGTCCACAGGAACAAAAGACTGTTGATGCCATTGTTGAAGCAAGGTGAAAATGGAGCTCTTACATTCCTCCTGCTCCACGCTTTACTCTCCGTAGCTCTAAGCACTACGTCTCTCCGTGCAATAATAGTTATGCTTTCATTTCACTGCAGCAAGTTCCCTCTGTCAATTGTTTTAGTTGGAGTTGGAGATGGCCCCTGGGATATGATGAGAGAATTTGACGACAATATCCCATCACGCGCATTTGATAATTTTCAGGTTGGTGTTATTAGTCTCATTCATCTCTACATACATACTTACATACCTATATATACATGTATATGCATACATACACTTATATGCACGGATGCAGACTTTGCAGTTCTATATTTTCCTCTTTCGTCCTCTCTGCCATCGAGGTTCCGTTTTATTTTTCATTAACTCTCTCTTCCGCTGTCTAGTTTGTAAATTTCTCAGAAATTATGTCGAAGAATATACCTACATCTCGGAAAGAAACTGAGTTTGCTCTTGCTGCACTAATGGAGATTCCCTCCCAGTACAAGGCTACGATGGAGCTTGGTGTTTTGGGGTAAGAGGTTATTTCCTGCTTCAGTTTTTCTGTTGCATCTGAAGTAATTGTTTATTGTCATCTTTTAATTCTGTGCCTCAGTTTTGATCCAGAACTTGTAATAGGACTATAAAATCTTTGATGGGTCTCAGAAACAATCCTAATGTCTTCTGTTTTCTTTTTTTCCTATTGACGACGTTTTTGTTTACTCGAGCAGTGATCACAAAAGCGTGTCTCCTCAGAGAGTTGCACTTCCTCCACCAGTCTATGGCGCAGCAGCTTCTTTTGGTAGTTCAAAATCTTTCAGTAATTCAAAGCCTACCTTGTCTTCCAGTTATGAGCCAAGTGTGCCATCTTTCCCCGAACGTGGAAATCTTACTAGAACTAGTACAGCTCCTCCTATAGCAAGCTCAACTTATGATAATCAGGTCTGTCAAATTTTATCTTGTCTGTCATGTTTTCTTCACCCTTTTTCTTAATATCTAGAATCAAACGAATCATGCTTATAATACAATGTAATATCAGTTTCATAGTGGGCGCAATTTTTAGCCTGAAAGAAAATGACATTTTTCTGCAAGTGAATAGTTTGAAAAGAATACTAATTGCACTTCAACATCAATCAAAATAAAGCATCCTTGTCGCTTTGAATTGTGCAACAGTAACCATTGTTCGTGTGCCGTATGTTCGCATGTGAGATTGTCACGATCCATTATTTATTTCTTCCTGTCTATCCTTTTTGTTTTTAGATTTTGATTGGGATCTTTCCTAATTGATGACATAGGCAAAAAGTGTTCATCAAAGTAGTATTTTTTGAAAAATGAACGAAAAAACTAGTTTTCTATGAAGTTTAACGAGACTAGCTTTCTACTGATCTTGAACAGCTCTGCCCCATTTGCCTCAGCAATCCAAAGGACATGGCTTTTGGCTGTGGACACCAGGTGAGATTAATGCTGTTTCTCTCTCAACTTTTGTTTGACATGTTATGGAACAGAACATGAATCAATAATCCTGAACTGAATTTGCTTTTGAATGATGAATGTTTTGTTCATTACAGACGTGTTGTGAATGTGGACAAGACCTCCAGACATGTCCCATATGTAGGAGCGCCATTCACACCAGGATAAAGCTTTACTGAAGCGTCTTGGTTTGCTGCTTTGTTGAAATTCTTTGTAATCTATTCCTTAATTTATCCGAAATCATGTCCAATCTCTGAATGCATCGGTTCATATGAGATGTTTGGGTTATGTTCTTCATATATACTATGCGAGTTGGCCATTGATTTGTGTAGTTAAGAAAAATGAAGAACTTCCCAACCTAATTTCGTATATGCCATTACAGTCTTGGTTTAAGATCATATTCTTTGAAAAAATTTTAATTTCTAAAAATTTAAACAAATGGAAGTAAGAAAGGAGGATGCTTGTAATACTACGAGATCTTTAGGTTCTCTCCTCATACTTCACAACTCCCAAAACCATACCAGTCAAATCGAGACGTTTTTGAGTTCAACCTATATTTGAAATTTTCCCAGAATTGGTAAGGCATAATGGGAGATAGCAATTACCAATGAGTTCGTATCGATTAGTATTTTCTGGAATGTGTTTGTGGTGATATTAATTTATTTTTCCAAATATTGCAATTTAGAATACTAGGAAAAATGATTGATAACTAGTAACTTTTATTTTTTTCCTTGAATAAGCTCCTCAGCAACTCATTTCCTCCCGCTTCCGTCGTAAATACAATTAAATATCGTGAATTTAAGAGAATTATTAATAAAGTTAAATATTATGAATTTAAGTTAGCATTATAAATAAAATTAAATGCTTTGAATTAAGTTTGGGATGAGTGTTGCAATTACGGGCCCTCTGGCATGGCGAAAATACGATCAACATTCAACAGTGAGAATTAAGTGCGTACTGTACTCGCGAATCCTTTCAATCTCTTCGGCATCCCAACGACAGCGAAATCTCATGCCTTTCACTCGTCTTCTTCACGGCTTTTCGTTTCTCTGATTCTGAATCTTCACTCTGTTTCCCCAGATTCATCTCTTTCGCCCTGTACCTGTAGTAATGAAGCACAAGACCCACTCCCTTTCCCCCACTCGCCGACTTAAGCTCCTTCTACTCTGCCTCATCCTTCTTCTCGCCCTCCTCTGTCTCTATTATGGATCCTCTCTCGCACCCAGTTCGCGTAGATCTGATGGCGAGGATTCCTTTGGCTCTGATCCGGTTCTTGGTGCGGTCGCTGTCAGTCGCGATGTGGGTCACTTGCATGAACTTCGGGAGCTGAATCTCGATGTCCCTGGGAGCATTCCTGTAAGCATCACTTCCTTGAATTCTTGTTTTTGCAATTTTGGTGAAGTGGAACCCTGGAAATGTGCTTCGGTTCTTGAATCGGTTTTTTTGTTGTGCCTTGTTTTGAGCTGAAGTGTTTGCTTCTTTATGCCCTTTCAGATCTGTGATGAACGGTATTCAGAGTTGATACCTTGTTTGGATAGAAACCTTATTTACCAATTGAAATTGAAGCTCAATTTGAGTTTGATGGAGCACTATGAGCGGCATTGCCCCCCTCCTGAACGCCGCTATAATTGTCTCATTCCTCCTCCTACTGGTTACAAGGTTGGTTATTTGTAGTAATGTAAACAATAGCTACTTATAGAATAGTTTGATTCCAACATAATTATAATTAGAGTTTCAGATCCCAATAAGATGGCCAGCGAGTAGGGATGAAGTGTGGAAGGCAAACATACCACATACACACCTTGCACAAGAAAAATCAGACCAGAACTGGATGGTTGTGAATGGGGATAAGATCAATTTTCCTGGAGGTGGCACTCATTTTCACTATGGAGCTGATAAGTATATCATTGCACTTGCGAAGGCGAGTTTTTTTTTTCTCTTTCCATTGTCAATCCTTGATGTGTTGTAGAGTAAATATTAATCTCAAATTTGAGTAATTTGACAACTTCCCAAGTGGCAGAATTTGCTTCTATGTTCATTCTTCTTTCTGCAAATGAATGGATAATGTGTGGTAACCCAACCCACGGGCATGAGATTCATTTCTCTTTGTAAAATGCTTAATATTCTTCTTATGCGTGTAGATGCTTAAGTTCCCTGGTGATAAGCTCCACAATGGTGGAAATTTACGGAATGTCCTAGATGTGGGCTGTGGGGTTGCAAGTTTTGGAGCATATCTTCTTTCACACGATATTATTGCTATGTCTCTGGCTCCTAATGATGTGCACGAGAATCAAATACAATTTGCACTTGAGAGGGGTATTCCATCAGCTCTTGGTGTTTTGGGAACAAAAAGACTCCCCTATCCTAGTAGATCATTTGAGTTGGTTCATTGTTCTCGATGTCGAATTGATTGGCTACAGAGAGATGGAATCCTCTTATTAGAACTTGACAGGTTATTGAGACCTGGAGGTTATTTTGCTTACTCCTCCCCTGAAGCTTATGCACATGATCCAGAAAATAGAAGGATTGGAATTGCTATGAATGACCTCTTGAGGAGGATGTGCTGGAAAGTTGTTGCTAAAAAGGATCAAACTGTTGTATGGGCTAAGCCAGTGTCTAACAGCTGTTATTTGAAAAGGGCTCCTGGGACTCTTCCACCTTTGTGTGATTTGGAAGATGATCCAGATTTGACTTGGAATGTGTCAATGAAAGCATGCATTTCCCGATACTCTAAAAGTGAGTGTAAATATGCTTTTCAGCCACATTCTCTCTACTCGTACTGTTAAGAATTTTCTACTTAACTGATCTTCACAGTTTTAGGTGGTTTCATTCGTTTTTCTTTTTCTTAAGGTTTTGTAAAAATGTTCTGATTTATACATACACAAGAATATGACTGTTATTAAGCAATGGAGTTGTGTATTTTTCAACGGATTCTTCCTTGACTTTCTATCAACTATAACTGTGTATGCTTATTTCACTTTCTTTTCGTAAGCATATTGCTTTTTGTGTATATCTCGATGTTCATTTACTTTCTTCTCTTTGAACATATCAATGTAACAGAAATGCACAGGCTAAAAGGAAGTGGACTAATTCCTTGGCCACGTAGACTTACTTCAGCTCCTCCCCGTCTTGAAGATGTTGGTGTCAGTGCAGAAGAATTCAAAGACGACAGTGTAAGTTTTTTTAAAGGTGCCAATGTCGTCCATTGTTTTTAAACATTAGCAGCAACAAATGCTATTCTATTATTTACTGTTTCTTATGACAGTCTAGAAGCCTAAGGGTAAGATTTAATTTTTGCAGAATGTTTGGCAACTTAGAGTGGCAGAATATTGGAAAGAAATGAGAGTTGTTTTACAGAGGAACTCCATCAGAAATGTAATGGATATGAATTCCAATCTTGGGGGGTTTGCTGCTGCACTAGTTAATGAAGCCGTCTGGGTGATGAATGTTGCTCCTGTCAATTCATCTGCAAAATTAAAGATTGTTTATGATAGAGGCTTGTTGGGAACTGTTCATGATTGGTATGCACTTTACCTGGTCACTCCTAGCTTGAATTTGGACCTAAATCTGCTACGTTATCTTCTTGCCATTCCTTTTTCTCGTCACCGAATAGGTTTTTGGTTATTCAATTTACTTATGTTATTTTATTACTCTTTTTTATCGATTATTTAATACAATGGCTTCTTTCATTGCGTCTTGCTGTCTTATTTTCACTGATTCTATCTTATCATACTATGAATCTGAATTATTTGTCTATCCTGAAAATTGTTGGATTGTTCTTTTACTGAAACATTTAGTGAAGAATGCAGCAACATTAAGGCAAATATGATGCATGCCACACCAATCTTCTAGTTCAATATTTTTTCCTAACAATGGAAAATTGATGAATGAAATAAAGGGAACTTCTAGGTTAGCATAAATAGCTTGATAAAGCTGGATGTATTTGTGTATGATTTTCTAAGTACCATTGATCTTAAAAAGGTCTGCAGTCATCTGGCTTTGTATTTTAGTAATTGAAAAATTGCATGCGCGTGTAATCTTGACATAAAGTCTGTAGTTATCTGGCCTTACATTTTAATATTTGGGAAGTTGTAATCACTTATCATTCAACTTTGCGTAGAACCGTTTCTTCGACTTCTATATTTTCAACCTTATCAAGATTCTTCATCTGCTCATATTTGAGTAATTTTTTTCTTTCTTTTGTTTTATAATCTCATTCTTTGGAGGCTTCAAATATGATGTCTTAGTTTTAATCCCTAACTAATAGAAATCTACTTGTTTCTTAGCTGCATCTTGTATGCACTTGGTTACTTGGATTAGTCTACCGATCAACATGCATTTTTTCTTCTTGAGTTATGGATCAAATTGACTATGTTATTCATAGAAACCAGAGAATACCAGGCAGTAGATGTACGTAATACTTCGAAACATATTATTTGCTACCTTTGCTGTCTGTGATCCTTCCTTATCCAGATTCCTTTGTTTTACAGGTGTGAAGCATTTTCCACATATCCTCGCACCTATGATCTTCTTCATGCATGGGCTGTATTTTCGGAAATTAGTGCTCGAGGCTGCAGTATGGAGGATCTAATAATTGAAATGGATCGGATTCTAAGGCCAGATGGATTTATCATTATACGAGATGTTCCTTCTGTCATAAACTATATACGGAAGTATGTTACAGCCTTAAGATGGGATGAATGGTTCTCAGAAGTGGAACCTAGGATTGATGCTCTTTCCAAAGTAGAAGAAAGAGTTCTAATTGCAAGAAAGAAGCTGTGGGGGAAGGAATTAGCAACAGTTTGATTTTGCTGCACTTTTCAGGTATGCATATATTTTCCCCCTTTTCTGCAGCTTGTCACTACGTAAACTCGAACTCTCGTTTTTTGTTTATTGGCTTCTGCACAGGGGCTTTTATCTTATAGGGCACACTCACTTAAAACAATGCTCCTCTTTCTTTAGATTTGAAGTTAAAAAAGAAGATTAATGACAGATGAATACCCAAATGCCGGAGAACAATTGTAGTAAAACAGGCTTAAGAAGAAATTTGATAGAAACTTTCTTTATTTAGATAAGAGAAGCTCCCATTGAGAGAAACCCAAAGAAGCCCTTCGACTTGAAACCTTGAATCTCCCCTTTTCATCTTCATTAATAGGATTGTTTTTGGTCACTGGTAGATTATGAATTTATACTTCAAGGCTGTTTCTGTTCTCTGTAAAATGCCATTTTTGTCTACCCTTGTAGGAAAACCAAGTATTACATAATTTATTAGCCCTCAGCTCCGAGTTGAAAATGAAGATTGGAGAGCAGCTTGGATCCACAGATATATTTGCAGTGGCCATTTTCCCAATGACTTCCCCAGTAATTGTTGCTGAAGATGATGAAGAAGATGAATATGGAATGATACAAGTAAGTACACCACGAAAGTAGTCATTTTGCAGAATGCACCAGATTGAGGCAATACAATGACAATAGTCATTAAAAAAAAAAAAAAAAAAAAGATCCTTTTTTGGCTGAGTAGCGTACAATTTTTTTTTTTTTTTTTTTACAAATAATTTTAGGTCGGAGTCGACCGATATCTATTTTGTTTTACTTTATTTTCGATGTTAATGAGTAACCCCGTCTTTATTTTGTCATTTACATTTCTTTTATCTGAACGCTAATATTTTTAGAGTATTATGGATGGATTGAGTTATATTCATGTTAGGCTATACATTATCATGTATCATGGTCGTAAATGTATACCCAATTGTTGTAAGTTGTAACAAGGGATTAAAAAAAAAAAAAAAAAAAGGCAAAAGAGTCGAGCACCAACTAATATGTCAATTGCCAAATTTTTGGTTGAACTATAGATTTAATTCATGAGTTTGAATGGTTATCTATTCAGTCTTGAAGGTTTACTGCTCTCTTTTTAAGTCTTACAATCTTAATAAGTTTTTAATGTCATTAATATGGTTGACTTAATGTTTTTAATTTAATTGTTTTGAGTCTAATGGTGAAGAATGTTTATCAAATTGTCTAACACAATATATGCTGCATAAAATTATAATACTATCCATCCCAACAATATATGATACAATGCCACTCTATCTTGAATACTCTTAACTTACCTACATTAAGGTTCTCTCTATTAGAGCCTTACCGTTATTCAAAATAGGTCGAAATGAAGAATTCTACATCTTCCTTCATACAAACATCGTTTACCTCCACTTACGAGAGACTTATAACTTGATCACAATTTTGGGCTCGTAACAAAATACATCAATTATCATCTAAAACGTCTAGAATCTAAAATTTTGATCAAAATAAAAGAGCACGGTAACAATTTGATCCCATGTTTGTAACTATTTGGTACTTTCAATTTTCGTATCAACCTTTCAAATTTGTTAGGTTTACTTAATGAATAATAATAAAGTAGCTCGATCAATTTATAACTAAATTATTAAATAGTAAAATGTAATTAAAAAAAGTTGGAACAAAATTAAATTATTACAAATTTTAAAATATGAAAACTAAATTAGTAGGCATTAAATTTTTTGCCCAAGTTGTTATAACCAAAGTTGGCCTAAATTCAAAATTCCCACGGTTTCTTCGATTTCTTCGGAGATCAACAACCATTTCTCTTCTTTCACCGTTCTTTTTATTTGCGTCGCTGGCTGTGAATTTCTGACCGCTGTTCACATTTTTCAATCAGATCAGTGGTTTTCCACCTGTTCGTAGACGAAGATCGGTCGTTTGGAAGGATTTATCGTTCCAGGTTTTCCTTTCACAGAATTATTTCGCTGTACTTTCGTTTTGCACCAACTGATTTCGCCCATGTTTTCTAATTTCTAACTATGGAGTTTGTCAATTCCTGGTTTTCTTGCTGGGACCACCCGAAATTTGTTCCCTGCCGTGATTTATTTTTCCTCAGAATCAGTATTAATGGCGTCATTAGTGTTTTTGCATGTGTTCAAATATTGAGTTTAAATGTGGAGGGCTGTTTCTTCGAGCTGTCTTTTCCAGTTTGGTTGTTAATCTTAGTTATTGCAATGTTGGCGGTTCAAGTGAATTTATAGTGGCTACAAAATTAAGCATGCGAATTGTAGACCAGGGCGACGTCCGGCAATTGTGACCGCGTTTGATGCTTGCCGTATGCGTTGTGGTGTCGCCACGATTTTTCTGAAACTCTAGTGTATACAAGTTGCGAACTCGTTGTTTAATTATTCAGATTTTTGCTTAAGAGGTTGGTTTCTCTCTTTGTTCATCTTTTCAGGCGTGGTTCGTTTAGTTACTTGACATCAGATTCAAGCTTGGCGTTCTGGAAACTGTAAATTGATTACTCAATGTCATTCCAAGTTCCTACACTGGTAGATTTCAGAGACATACTTTTCAAAACTTGAAACTTGAACGTTTTGGACAGTATGGCGAACCCTACACGCAGGTTAAATCATAATCAACCTCTTATTTTCTTATTAGATTATGTGGGCTTTTGCTTCCTGTAGCCATCGATTGTTTGCAATTTTTTTACTTTTTTTCATTTGGAATATTTATTTCAACTTGTATTAATGTGCAGTGGAAACATGAGAAATCCTAACGAGATAATGAGGATTCTAGTTACAACATTTGTTGGAGGCGTTTTTGGTTTCTTTTTAGGGGTATCCTTTCCCACACTCTCATTATCCCAGGTAGAAAACTTTATTTTCGGCATTTTCTATTAATTATGGATATGTTTAATTTCATCATCCATGTTGATTTGGCTCACATATTTTTAGAAGGTGAGAAAGCTTATTATTATTTTTTTTAATTCTGGCAGCTAAACTTCCCATCCAGCCTGATTCCTTCTATTGATCTCACTTACATTGAGGACAAGTACTCAGGCCTCTCCACTGAAGCATTCTTGAATGCTTGGTCTTCTTTGAAGGGTAGCAGAGGCGGCTCCTTTCAGTCTTCACTGAACGAGACAAAGGTGCACCTTTGACTTAGTTATTGTTTTTCTGTAGAATGCAAGCATAATTTATTTACGGAAATTTTTATCTTCAAGCTATTTTTTATATGTTTCACATAAAGATATTAATTATTTGTATTCTTTAGAACTTTAAAGCTGAGTTATGACTGAACATGATGTTAACTATGGGAGACATGTCTGTTTTGAAATTAGATTTTTTTTTTTTTTTTGAAGATAAGGAATTTGATTATCATATTTCACTTCAAATTTTATTCTTGAACTTGAGAATGCTTTGATCATTGTGACTAAAGTACTGGTACTTCCATGTTTTCAAGCTTTCTCACCTTTAGTACTTTTACTTAGTGGCGAAAGAAAGTAATATAGTTTTTTCGATGCTTAATTTCTGAGGCTTTACAATCTTACGGCTAGCTAGCATAAAAGTATCAAGGAGATTGAAGTATTGTGAAGCAAAATAATTTTACTAATAGATAAGCTATAGGATGGAGAAATCTCTCTGTACTTACTCGAGATATTTCTCCCAATCAAACCAAGGATTCAGAGTTTGGAAGGAAACTTGGTCATACTCTTACACATCCATGTGCAATCATTTGTTTGACAACAAGGAGGCAATTCTAAGACACTTGACTATATTCTTCTGGAGATGGAAGGCTGTTTAATAAGTGAGATTCTTCATATTTTTAATTTTGTATCTTAACCCAAAAAATTTATAATTTCTTAACTTTCCCCTTGAAGCACAATGCTCCATGGACAGAGTAGATAAACAGTCTCCTTAGTTACTACGCACTGGGACAAAGTACTATATACTGTTGTGATCGAACTTTTATTAACTTTGTTTTCTTAGTTGAAAATTAATTGTGGATATCTTTATTCATGTACATACTTTGGCATGAGATGGCAATCTGGAGAACTTTGTGTGTGCTTAATTTCTGATTTCTTCTGCTTGAGCTGGCTATTGAAAGTTGAAACTTTGATGATAATGCAGATATGGGTTCCTACAAATCCAAGAGGAGCTGAAAGATTACCACCTGGTATTGTTGAGCCTGAATCTGATTTTAACCTTCGGCGTTTGTGGGGCATGCCAAACGAGGTACTCATTGTCTAGAAAAGCTTTGCAACTTGCATTTGGCCTAATAATCGTGCGTGTGAAACTAGTGAGTAGCTTTAATGTTGTTTACTTGTATTAGCCTAATAGTTTAAACTCGACCAATGGACTGATAGTCTGACTGTAGATTTGACAAAAAGTGGAGAATTATGAGATAGGAGTAAGTTACTCATTGATATTAAGTTAGTGACCAATTTTGTGTGGATTTATGTACTATGTTAAAATTATATATATAAAATGTTTTTTTTTGGGGGGTGGGGGGTGGGGGGTTATGGATGCTGCTTGACACCATTCACAGATCGACCTCCTTTTATATGCAACAATTCCTGTGTTGTGTATGCCTGTTCTGCAATGGGAGAAATGATTGAAAGTTTCATCAAAGAGTGAAGTTGATTCCCAATATGTTTTTTCTTATCCATTAAATAGAAAATTTGAATTATATTTTCCCATATATGTTCTTTCACAACGTTTTGGCTGATACATTTCGTGGAATACAAAAGATCATCATGTTACCCTTTTTGGACAAAGATGTTAGAATGGGTAGCACAAAGTTAAGATTAGCACATCTGAGATCATTATGATAAATATAATTGCTAGAAAAGGGGAAGTCGCGTGTGACCTTATCTTACGAATGAAATATTTCACTCATCTGTTAATCAAAATTTCTTTAGATTTCAAACTGAATTTATTATTGGTGGTTTCACTTCCAGGATTTGACCATCAAACCGAAGTATCTGGTAACATTTACGGTTGGTTTTGGTCAGAAAAAGAATATTGATGCAGCAGTTAAAAAGGTGAGTTTGGAAGGTGTGCATGTTTATTGCATTTCTCTCTTCATATCTGATGTATTTTGACAGTTCTCAGAGAACTTCACGGTTCTGTTGTTTCACTATGATGGACGAGCAAGTGATTGGGAAGATTTAGAGTGGTCGAAGCAGGCAATCCATGTGAGTGTCCGAAAGCAAACTAAATGGTCAGTTACAATCTCCTTACGACAATAATCTTCCATACAAGGTAGCAAAGAATTTTATTTGATCTCATCTATATATACTCAATCCTAGGTGGTATGCTAAGCGTTTTCTGCATCCTGACATTGTGGCATCCTATGACTACATATTTGTTTGGGATGAGGATCTAGGAGTAGAGCATTTTAACGCAGAAGAGTAAGTTTGAAACCTCACACTCTAATTTTATGAGAAAACCCAAAAAAGTTATAATTTTCTGTCTGTTCCAGGTATTTAAAACTTGTGAGAAAACATGGTTTGGAGATTTCGCAACCTGGCTTAGAACCAAATCAAGGGTTAACGTGGCAGATGACTAAAAGGAGAGGTGACAGTGAAGTTCACAAGTAAGAACTCGTTTTGATTTTAATTACAAATTAATCATTCATTTAAATATCCGTACACGTGTAGTTTTACTCTTCGGTTAAATGCAGGGAGACTGAGGAGAAACCCGGTTGGTGCACTCATCCACATCTTCCACCTTGTGCAGCGTGTGTAATCAATGATTTTATTTATATAGTTCTTTTACTTATGTTCACCTTTTTCCGTATTCATATTAACAGATACACTGAAGTTCTTTCTTACCTCCACTCCCATGCAGTTTTGTTGAAATCATGGCAACTGTGTTTTCTCGCGATGCATGGCGCTGTGTTTGGCATTTGATTCAAGTTTGGATTCTTCTACTTATACGCTGATCTGTTGCCTTGAGTTCATTTTGTTTCTGGCTTGTTTAAAATAATTTTTCCTCTTGGATATTGTAGAATGATTTGGTTCACGGTTGGGGTCTTGATTTTGCTTTACGAAGATGTGTGGAAGTAAGTATGATCACTTGCCTGTATTATTTCACATATTCATCTTTTTCATAGACTCATCACTTCTTGTTGGTGTTTTAAAGCAGCCCGCTCATGAGAAAATAGGGGTTGTGGATTCTCAGTGGATTGTTCATCAAAGTATTCCTTCTCTTGGGAATCAGGTAATCCGACGCATTCAACTCTCTTCTCTACCATTCCATAACAAAGACGTTACTCTTAACTGTTTCCTCCAACAGGGGAAAGCAGAAGGTGGGAGAGCACCATGGGAAGGGGTAAGTAGCCGATGCCTTCCACCCCCCACCCCCACCTTACAACATTAAGAATTAATGTTAATAGTATATTTGAATTTTTCAGGTAAGAGAGAGATGTAAAAAAGAATGGGAAATTTTTAGGATCCGGATGTCTGATGCTGAGAATGCCTATTATCGTGGAATGGGGATTGATCCGCCAAATTCAACTCAAGCGTAGGAAAAAGGCTGCAACTATTCTTTCCCTTTCTACTGGAAGAAATCATGTGTATAAGGCACTGGTAATTGTTTCTCTGGTAGTCTTGGAATTTGAATAGTCAGTTTAGGAGAATTAATACCACTGGGCAGTCTTTTTTTTGAAGCTCTAAAAGACTTCCATGTGAGAGGAGAATTACGGTCTTTATTTATATGAAAGTTTTAAAAAGGTGCTTTGTCATGTCAGATGTGTAGAGGAATCTATGAAGGCATGGACAAGCCCTTTAATTCTCTATGTTGCCTTTTAAAACATTTTTCTTTAGGTGTTCTTGGCTCGCATTTAATTCAACGATTTTGCATCTAATCTAGCAAACCTCGTAAATATTCTTCAACCCTCATTAGTTTATTGCTGAAGTTGCTGAAGAAATCTTCTTGATAATCATGTAGCTTCATGACTGACATGTTTTAATATATATTTTCGTGACAACTAGATAAGGAACTATTTGTCCCGAGCAAGGCATTCATAGACTGAAAGCTAGTAGGTACCGTAGTATCAAAGCTGCAGTGATGAAGATTGACGAACTAAGTTTTCGGGAATTTTGTAATTCCGTGGCTGCATATTCAAAAAAGCACATCTTCGTACAAAAAGAAAAGACAAGACTACCCTGAGTACATAATTTGAACCTTTTACAATATCATAATACTAATATCACATTGTCTAGGATACTAAATTTCAGCTACAGCCAGTGCAAATACTTTGTATAAGAACTTAAAAGGGGATATACTTTGATATGATCAGCTGAACTTGTTAAAGTTCTTCTTTTTGGAACTTGTTAAAGTTCTTCTTTTTGGAACTTGTTAAAGTTCTTCTTTTTGGAACTTGTTAGAGATTAATATACCCAAGGAGAGAATCTCCTTTACAATCTCAATAAGCTTTCCAATAAAATTTGAGCGTTGGGCCAATATAATTAAATAAATAAAATATAAAGACAATCTTGAACTGACCTATTGAATCTCTTCGGAGAGCTGTTGATGTACTCCCAGGAATATCGCTGAGGTACCTGCTATATTGATGGACTCTCCATAGGCAAATGTTTGACGAGTTAATATAAAATCGTGAATCGTCAGAGTATGCAGATGAAACACAGCTGAAATGTACCTTTTTCATTTTGATTAGGCGTCGGAGTATTCCACATATAGCAAATGAGGTCCACCCTACGTTCAACGATCATATTGATTTCTGTAAAAATAAGAAATGCTGAGCAGTTTACTTCCAACATATGAATGGATACAAAATTTCAGCATGATATCAAATTAGTGATTATAAACTGAGGGCATAAACCACATACTGACCTTTAGGTTTGTTCAGCAAAACCACTGTCCCATTTGGGTTGGGGGGGGGGGGG